GTGGCTTCAGGTATCACGGAAAGGCTTTGCACCAGGGCCACCTGGGGCAAGGGGTACAGGGGTCAGGCTGCCTATGCAACAGTGGCCTCAGGGGCACCTGGAAGAAGTCCAGGTGTTCAGATGAAGTTAGGGGCTGGGCTGAGAGCACGTGGGCAGGGAGCTCCTGGAAGACACAGCACTGAGGGACCCATGGTGCAGATGCTGGGAGCCGACCCAGGCGGACACCCACTCGGATGTGGTGGCTGGTGGTGGACAGAGCCTTGTACTTTCCAGCACGGCTTTGTTCAGCCTCTGATCGCACCTTTGGCCAATCTGCTTTTCACAGGATGATGACTGGCTCATGAGATTGAGAGAATTTTCACAGTGGGCAAGATTCCAGGTTTGCCTTCAGCTAATTTAGTGACATTAGAAGGCTGTAAATGCCACGTACCAACTGGCAGGCAAGCTGCTCCTGATGCCGAGACTACTGCTTTACAGGGAGCTGCAGCTGCAGGGGCCCGGCTGCGCGTTCAAGGCTGTCCTGGTGAGACAAGTCTGTAGGTACCGCAGTCACTGCGCACACTGCCTCCCAGCCCAGGGACGCTGAGGACGCTGTGGGCCAGCGGGATGAAGCACTGCAGTCACAGGTCACTGCCATGCCTGCCAGTGCTCCCACTCTCCACACGCAGGACAGTGTGGCAATGTTCCATGCTCAGCAGCTGGTCTCACTGAGGCCAATGTGGTGTGGCCCGAGTGCCGGGCTTTGAGGGACAAGGGATATGTCACAAGAGAGGCTCAGAAGCCTGTCCCAAAGCACAGAACACAAGCATGGAGGCCAGAGCACAATCTGTGTGAATCAGCCAGGTATCCTAGGGAAGGAAGCAAGGGAAGGCCGAGGGACAGAGCTGAGAGGACATGCTTCTCTCACTAGTGTGGTTTCAGGCACACGTGCCTTCCAGGTACCCAACGGCAATGGGATAAGCAAGCAACGCAGCAAGGCCTTGGGAGACGAAAGTGCCAGAACCAGAGCTCTCAGCAGCTCCAGCACGCGCCGGCCACAGGAGGAAGCAGGTGGATGTTCAGACAGGAGGAGCTGGCAACGTGTGTCCTGCAGGAGGAAGGCTGCCTCCCATGCAGACGCTACGTATGTTGGGGGCAGCAGAGAGCACCTAGGCCTTCCGAAGGATGGAGGGTGGGCAAGGCTCCACAGAGCGGGGCACTCTGCCCTGAAGCCACCTCGGGAGGGGCCAGACATGGGCAACCTCACTCTCCTAGGGGTACAGAATGGAAGGCCAAGCTGGTTCCACTCTTGTTTGCCTAATGTGATAAGCTCAGGAAACACTTTGGGGAGGACGGTGGAATGAGAACATTTACATACGGTGAGAGAATATTCAAGAATACTCAAGTACTGAGATTGCTGTTTCCCCACTAACAGAGCCACTGTCCCAGATGTTTCTAAACACAGACCACGCCAGAGAGGCGCAGGCAGCAGAGGCTGGGTGAAGCCATCTTGAGGAGCTCGCCCACACTAAACCGCTAACCTAGGGAAGAGGAGTGCCTCGGTTGAGCAAGTAATTCTCGGCGGGGGAGGTGGTTTCAAACAGCACACTTGCGCTTTTATATTGTCGTCCCAAACACCAAGATTTTTTTTTTTTTTTTTTTGTGGAACTCAGGCCCTCATGCTTGCCAGGCAAGTGCTTATCCTACTGAGCCATCTCCCCGGCCCCCCAAAACACCAAGATCTCAAGGCACACTGATTTCCACCTTCTGGACCATCCTGCAAGGCATTCGTCTGTGGGAGAGAAACTGTGACCCTATGCCGCCCGCCCGCCCAGCATCCCTGGACCTGCTCCCCTCACGAGCACAGCGGCCTGCTGTTCGCAGAGCAGGCAGCTCTGGGTCTTCGTGTCTCCTGCAAAGATGGCGGTTTTGGAGTATGTTACCTTTGCTTCTCAAGAACTGCTGAATCTACATCGCTTCCAAATAAGAACTGCCTTTCACGGGAGGAAAATGCTGTTTTTGTGATGGATGTTGCTAAGGGGCCACTCAATATTTTACCAGCAGCACCAACTCCCTGTGTACATGTCTGTGTAGGAGTCCGGGGAGGGGGCTGTTCTGACAGGTTTGTGTGTAGGTGTCAGAAGAGGTTTTGTGGCTATGACTGTATTTCTGTGTGCAAGGAAGAGGCATTTACTGTTTCCTTTCTGAATGAGGACTGTAGGAGTCGGCAGAGACCTGGTGATTAAGATCTCATTTGGGGACGTTAAGTATTTATTTTCTTGTTCTGAAAAATGGCTGGGTATAGGAATAAAGGCAATACGAAAGGTAAAAATCCCCTCTATCACTCCATGGAAGTGCCTAGTAGCCAGCAGGGTCCCAACCTGCCCTGGCCTGGGCTCACACTTCAGCAGCCTTCTGATGACAGGTGAACGGGCTTTCCGCTCAGCCTGACTTCCGGTCTGAGACATCACAGGCTTGCACATGACCCGTAAGTACTATGGGAGAGCACCCCACAAGCTGGAAGTGAATAGTTAGAGAATTTAGCGTTCCTGCTTTGCTCACCCGTACAAAAACATAAAGAAGGCATTCTCTGTCTTGACAGACGGATTTCAGAGGAGACGCCCCAGCCAGAACAATAACGGTGGCCATGGCGCCACTCCCCGCACCTTGTGGGCTTCAATGGACTTTTCTTTCCAGTTCTCAAAAAGCAGCAACTGGCATTTGCTTGAGCCCTGACTGAGGTGTGGACAATCTGTCAGGTTGTCTCTGCCACTCGCCCTGACCACAATTACACGGTCCATGTGCAGATTAGCTCTGAAGTCACTGCTCCTCCAGGAGTGACAAGACTTCCCCAATACAAAAAGGTACCCACCATGCCCTCCACTGCTGTCTGCATTAGAAAGGCAGAGCCGAGTGAGCAGGGAGAGAAATGCCTTCAAAAGAAGGGCATAACAACGGAAAAAGTAGCTGTAACAGAGTGGTGACATGGCAAGAACAGAGAGCGCCACTGTCACGGCGGAGTAATCCTATGACACACTGCTGTCACTCACCACCCGGCTCCCTGCCGTGCCAGCCAGACATCAAAGGCTGCCCCATACCATCTTACATGCTCTTTATCGGCTAATCAGCCCATTCTTCCCTGAATAAAGCCCTTAAATCCCCTGCTCACAGGGGTATAGTGGTCTTGGTGCCCATCTGCTATCCAGGGTCAGCTGAGGCAGGCGGCGGCGGTTGCTCTCTCCCTAGCGGCTTCTCAAGGTAAGGACAATGCCATCGCCAACTCCCCCGCCCAACAGCCCCCCCGCCTGGCTTCCCAGGAGCTGGGCAGGACTCGGCCTTCCTGGTCTAGAGAGCTGCTGGCTGGCTTAACACTTCCTAATGAAATTTCAAGGCATGAACGTAGGTCATCTGCTAATAATAGAATATTGTGATTATATTTATTTTTTTGGGCAGGAATAAACAAAGACCCGATTCTTAGCACCCATAATCTGGCAGGTCTAGCTCCATCACCCAGAAAACCTGCATTTTAGACATGGTGATGAGCTAGATGTTCAGGCTTATGAGGTCACTCTCAGATGTGGACTGGGAAACCCCATAGTGTGCTCAAGGTTCCCCTGCCTTCTCCATAGTAAGTGCAGGGACAGAGGCATCAAATTGAAAGATAGAGACCCAAGTCTGGTGGCCTCATGTGTCTGGGAGCAACGCTGATGCGCCTGTCCTCTCCTGGACCCAGAGGGCAGGTACAGAAATCTCAGGGGAGCACCCTGCTCTGCAGCGCTGTACCTCCACACTGCTGGGAAGAAGGCAGGTGGGAATGCAGCTCCACAGGAGAGGCCTGAGTGCGAGGGAGAAGGCAAGTGTCTTCACAACTCCACAGTGGAGCTAGAATCAGACACTTTACTGTCACAAAGAGCTTGATTAAATGGGATGTTCCAGGGTCTTGATTCATCGGCTCTCTAGATCTGTCTGATTGCCCTGCAGGGTTCAAAAGGTGGATTTGTGGTATCACCTAATCTTGATTCTCTCAATGGTCAGGTGGAGTGACTCTGTTTTGTGGTGGAGGAAAATGAGGTACTGAGATACAGAGAAGAGGAATGGTTCCAAACTCATACCAGAATGGAGCTGAGCTGGGTGCAAGTCCCTGACTCTAAGACTTCTGTCCCGAAGGTCTGGACCATGACAAGACTAAGGAAGAATTAGCAGACACTGGGGATCCAGCAGCGAGCCTCGGGTCAGGGCAGGATGGCCGGGGCTGCTCTATCTAATGTGGAGAGGACAGACAGCGCAGTAGCCGCCCAGAGCACTCAAAGGCGCCACATTGGAAATTGAGGAGTGCACCAGAAGTCTTTGCCCTCTCAAACACTTCATCACCATGACCTCCAACTTCAAGGCTGTGCAACAAGGGTGGCTACCCATCCCAAGGCTCCCTACAGAGCACCTGAGGGGTCTCCAAAGCTCTAGCTGCGGTGATCAAAGGAAGAGCTGGTACTGCTCAAGGTTGCTGAGTGGATGTCTCAACACGTGAGGCCGGACCAGAACTAGCCTTCACCCCACAGGGCAACACTCCTGGACAGTGCACACCCTCACCTGACAACCACTCAGCCCCACAGAGTGGCAGGTGGTGCCCACCCAGTGTACCCTGAGGCCAGCATGCTGGGGATCTGGGCATCAGCAGCTCCTGGCACTCAAGGCTGCCATCTCCCAGGTCCGGGTCCGTTACTAGGATGAGGCACAAGGAATGCAATGAGCCCCCAAGTCACCCCCAGGGAGGGGGCTACTCTTCTCTCCAATAGGCCTGACCGCTGCTCATAAGTCCCACTACGTTTGGGCCCAACAAGAGCTACCAGGGATCTTTTCTCTAGGTCCAGGAGCTTATGGAGTGAGAGATGGGCAGAATGGCAAATCCCACAGTGCGGAGGTGGAGAGATAACCCTGCCACACCACCTCACGCTGCTCTTCTCCACGGAGCGCTCTACGTCCCTGACCCCAGACATCTCCACCAATGAATTCCGATGGCTTACCCTCTGGGTGCTGTTTTCCTCCTCTTTCCAGTGTAGACGCCAAGGCTCCTGGGAGCATCTCTCAACCCAAAGCTCTTGGCCACATGGCCGAGGTGGAGGGCTCGCACATGGAAGATGTGCTTCAGCTCCCTGGGGTAGGCAGCATAGGCTCCGATGAAGGACTGCAGAGCTGAAAGGCAAGTGAGGAGGTGGAGGCGGTCAGGACCGGGCCTTCAGGTCCCAGGGCCCCCACGCCGAGCTAGGGCTCTACCCTTCTCATTCTTTACTTTGTGTCTCAGTCTTACTGTGTGAGTGGCCAAGCCTGGGGCTGGACTTGAGGTCCTCTTGCCTCAGCCTCCAGATGGTGGGACTGCGGGTGTGTGTCACTCTACCTGGCTTTGCTGTGTTTTGTCCAGCCAGGAAACAGAATATAACCAGCACAGTTACAATATAAACTACACAAGTCTACACTTGTGCATACTTTTAGAGTTCCTGAACAAACTATGGCCACAAGTGTCACTTGAATAAACCTAAACCTAATACCATCTGATTTTACTGCCGTTTGTCTGGATCCACCCTGGATCCAGTACGCCTCTCTGCCCTGGTCTTGAGCCCAGTACAGTACCCGGCACATGATAAGTGCTTGTTGTATCCGTGAATGAAGTGAGAATGAGTGCACAAACCAGGACCATTGACACAGGTGCTGCTGTCCTCTTATGAAAATGAAATCGACAGACAATCATTACGAAAATGTTTCCTCATTAAATGTCAGTTTTTTAACAGTTAATGCACGCAAGAGCTCCAAAGTTCACTCTATGAGTGACTTGCGCTGTTCCTCGGCCACATGCCCTGTGGGTCCCCCTCACATTCCTAGGTCCACATGTATCACCAGGAGCAGGTTAGCATCCTCTGGGGGATTTTATAACCAAGTTCATTCTGAAGCTATCTGCAGGCTGAGATGCAGGCAGTGGCAGAACCCTTGCTTTGCACATACAACGCCCTGGGTTTGATCCCTAGCACCACACACATAAAGACAAAGGCATCTATAACCAATATAGTGCTTCCAATTCATGTGAAGACTACATAAAAAAGGAAACTGAAGATGCATTTGTAAAAGGCGAAAGATCATTTATTAATTCTTAAAACAGTCCAAGGAATGGTTCACCCCTACAGGTCTGCTGTCGGTCCACCAAACATTCCACGCGAAAGCCTCAGTCAAGTTCAAAGTCAGGAATTCTTTTTTGAGATTCCAGTGCTGGTAAGAGAAAAGCCAGACCCAGGCCCTGGGGACAGAGCTCTGGATACACCTTATGGTAACAAGGAAACTGTCCTATGCCTGCTGGCTCCTCCTTGAATAGCGCTGTAACAAAGGAAACCCAGTGCCCACCTGATTCTCATTCAGGCAGGGCACAGGGGTGTGAGGCAAGCACTCTGCGCCTGCCCTGCTCATGCGACTTCCAAGGCTGCTCCTGTGCCATGCCAGCCAGCACCCAGCCCTGTACCACCAGTGAGACAGGCACCAGCTACCAGCCTCCCGCGCCTTGCTTGTTGAGCCACTGGACTGGCAAGTTTGCCCACAGCTTAAACGTAATATCCCAGCAGCACCTGGAGATCGGCGTTTATGAACAGTAATAAAAAGTGTCATTTTAGCAGATCAGCTCCTGGAAGGATCCTGGGAATCCATCAAAGCTCTATTTACTGAGCAAAGTGAACTCCTTTTCCCAATCGATGAGATATAATAAGCACGGCAACTCCTCTGCACCCCCCTCTAAGTCCGTGCTTACACCCCATTTTAATAACAAGGGACTAGGTTTTTCAAAGAGCATCTTGAACACCTGAAATGGTCTGCACTGTCTGAAGCGTTGACACCAGGCTCCTAGCCACAGAGCCACACTCAGGTGCCACGAGGCCAGCGGCAGAGGTCTGAGCCTCTTCTCCAACTCCTCTCCTCTCCCCAGCCCCAACCCTGTTCTAAAGGACAACACTCAACCAGGCCAAGCCAAGTGTCTGTGCCAGTGTGCTCTGGTCACCCTGGCCCCAGCACGGCACTGCACATCATGCACCGCTCCCCACACAGGCTTCCACCTTTGCTCACGCCCCATCACCTTCTCCGCGCCAATCTGAGAAGCAAGCGCAGAGACTCGGTCCCAGGAGGCATAGGTGCCCAGCTAACGGCTTTACGGGGATAATGAGTTTGCCGAGCAATGGCAGAAAGTGTTTTCTCCCCAGACAACTGGTCAGGCAGCATTTCACACTGCATATTTTACTAAAGCTCCCTGTCCTCAAAGCTCTGGTCTCACTGGGATGGCGACAGTTGGTTGTCCTTGCAGACTTGCAAGGAATCTCTTATTCAAATAATTTGGCGAGGCAGGGATTTCTGATCCCACAGGGACAGAAGTGGCTCATGTTGGCAGTGTCAGAAATGTGCAGAAGGAACAGGGTTGTGGGCCCAACAGGGCAGGAAGCGTGGAAGTACTGGGAGGAAACGTTTATTCAGGGTGACGGGTGAAGTACATGCAGTCACACGCTGGATGCTCTGCAGCTGCACATTCCTATGTCCAGCCAACTATTTAGGTATGTAAACTGGGGAGAAATCTGTTTTAAAAATCCTCTGTGGACATCTTTGACCTTGTTTATTCCTGGTCATTTGTGGCAGGAAAGGAGTATCTTATCAATGGTTCCTAAGAGGGCAGACAGGAACAACACTCAGCATGGAAGGTGAAGATTCTCCTCCTCCCAGCAGCCCTCTGCTCCGCGGGCTCAAGGCACTTGCCTCTCACATTTGACACTAACGGCGACAACTGTGCCAAGGACGCAGGGGAGGAGGTCGCTTGTTCCAATTCTCCCAAGACAAAACCTCCGCCCAAGTATCTGGCTTACTCTGCTCCCACTGAGGGCAGGAGGAGGCCCTGTCATCACTGGCAGTTCTGGTTCTGGGTTCTGAGATGTGTCCCTTCCAGGCACAGGTGTGATGCTACGTGGAAGCCTGCTCTTCACGGGAGCCAGAAGAAGATGGAGAGGACTAAGCCACGGGGCAGGGCCATGGGCAGCAAAGGACTCGGCCTCCCCACGCTTGTGTTCAGGAGGCTGGAATTCGAACTTAGGTTAGCACTATTTGTGCAACCTGAATCCCCAGCCGGAAGATGCAAGAAATGAGAGAAAAAAGGGCTCTCGGCTTCTGGGGACTGACAACAACTAGATGCTGGGTATTAACAAGGACTGGGTCAGAAGACGCAAAAGGAAAGCAAACGTGGGCTTGGCTCAGTTTCCAACTAGTTTTCTGCCATAAAGGCAAAAGCCAGCTGCTTTGTTAATTATTCATGAGGTGGGTTCTGAAATGGCCTAAGAGGGAAGCAAGTCAGTTGCGGTGAATTTCCATATGCAGATCAGAACGTAAGAGGAGAATGAAAGTCACAGGGTGCAGGTCCTGGGCCTTTCCCACGCGTGCAGTTCCGTGAGGGCGGCAGGTGGGCGCCCAGTTCCTCAAGCCTACAGAACGCACAGCCTAAGCAACAGAGAGCAGAGCGGGGGAGCTTGGGAGTGAAGCGGGGCCTGAGACCTGCCAGAGCGCTTGTTCCCGCCTCCCGCAGGCTGGGGTGGGAATCAACTAGCAGACAAGGAACACTGCCGGTTCATCTCCTCCGTGTCCCTGGTTCACTGGGGAGTGGGCCTGTTCTGAGACCTTGCAGCAGAAGACAAGTAACTGCTTGCTTCTTGAGCAAATTCAGTACTACTGGTGACGAGCAGAGAAAACCCCAATAAGGATTATAAATAAGGACTATTTCCTGTGACTTTCATTGAGATGGCCCAGATACCCTGAAGCAGCGCTATGTCCCCAAAATATCTGAAACAATTCTGACTGATACCACAGTTGAAAATGGTGGGGTGAGTTTGATTTGTTTCTGTTTAGAGAAACTTGTATTTTTTTGTGGTGTCGGTGGTACTGGGGACTGAACACAGGCCTTCACACTGAGCTCTAGCCCCAGGCGTTTTTTTTTTTTAATTGAGACAGGATCTCAATAAGTCTTAAAGTTTTCCAAGCTAGGCTTGACTTGTGATCCTCCTGCCTCAGCCTCCCAGAGTATGGGGATTTACAGACATGTGTCCCCATACCTGGCCTGACAGCTTTGTTTTGACCTTTGCCTAACTTTCATCAAAGGTCAAGCCTCTGTAAAGTCACAGTGTGACCAACTTTTTACTCCTCTTGACACATTCCAGTCCTTCTCTAGAGGCAGGAACCTTGTTGGGAAGACTCTTAGGAACTATTTGATTCATGTTTGAAAAATGCTAAGCACAGGATATTTTTGAAGCCTAGAAGGGTACATGCTAGACATGCATCGGTAGCAGTCGCTTGGACCTTTGTCGCTCACCTCTGCAGTTCTGACTTGGGTTTCACGACTGTAACAGACATCGCCCTCATCATGTGCTGACGTGTGACATGTATCTGAACCTACTTGCTAACTTTTTTTGTAGCACTGTGGAGCAAATCCAGCCCCAGGGCTTGCACACACCAGGCAAGTGCTCTACAGCGGAGCACACTGCTGGCCTGCCCACCTGGTCTTCTGTCCAGACCCCACACTTGGCCCACATGGGTTCCAGTTCCAGGGCGAACTGGCCGTCAGGTCTATCTATCCTCTCAGTGGCCAGGACTCCTCTCTACACCTGTGTCCATCACACCATATGGTTCAAAGCCTTCCAGGGGCTCCTGTACCCTCAGGGTAAGCCCCCCTAAACTCCCAGCAGCCCCTTTCCACCCACCCTACGTTCCTGGAGTCCCCTGCACTGGTCATCCCCACTGCCAGGAGACACAGCGCTCACCCACAGCAGGCTTCTGTGCTGCAGCGGCAGTGGCGGCAGCAGTGGCGGCGGTGGCGGCGGCGGCGGCGGCGGCAGCAGCAGCAGCAGCAGAATGGGGCTTGGGGGACACTGCTCCATGCTGCCTCTTTCCTTCACCCTGCTCCATTTTTCATAGCTCTCACCACCTTTGAAGAAACTTGAGTACTTGCAGCTACCACGCTCATGCAGCTGCTGCACCCACCAGTACGCCAGCCACACACAGGCAAGGACGTTTCACCTACGCGGAATGTCCAGAATGGTGCCCACTCTGTGACTACTGTTGACAGAATGGCTGAAGAAACACCTCTGAGAAAAAGGACAACACAGCTCCACCACTGGCTAAGCATCTTGGCGTTGTTCTTAAAACAGCAGGTGGCTAACAGAACTGTGGCCCTCACCGGGGGGAGCCTCATTAGCCCTGGGTCAGTCCCAGATGGGCGCCACGCCAGGACAGCGCACCCGTTCACCATGGTTCCCACCCCACTCCCACCTGCTCATCAAGTGACCAAGGTGAACTGGGCAGCCCGTATCGAATGGCTGGTTCCCAGGGGCCAATTTATCCTACAAGGGTCTGCACACTGAGTCAATACCTGACTCTTCTGTAAATTTCTTAGGCTTTGGGTTCATGGACAGTGGCCCTCCTGCAACATGATTTTCACTGTTTCCTCAGATAGGAACTGCCTAAGTGTAGTACCTCCGGCTGCTACCTTCTCTAATCTGCATTTCTGCAACTATCCCTACCGATGTGCCATGCCTCTTCCACCTGGTTTTTTCTTTTTCTTTTCCACCTGGTGCTCAGACACATACACTGATCTCCCAGATCCAAGCTGTTGGGTCAGAGCTCCAGTCCTCACGGAGGCCAAGATAAAGCCTCATTTGTGCACAAGAAGGGGAAAGATGAAATTAACATTTAATAACACTTTAAAGCCTTCCACGTCTGCTTCCAAACCCTGCAGAATTACAGAGCTTGAAGGCTTCCGCTGGGGGGCAGAGATCCCTGGCTGGCCTCTCAGGTGGGCACATGGGGTGTGAGGAGAGGGCGGGCTGCCGGCGCTTGTTCCACACAACCACCTGAGGAACCAACTGACCTCTCTTAGCCCAGGAGACTGTCCTCTCACTGGAGTGCACGTAATCTTCAAACACGGTCTGTAAGACTGTGGCTCGCTCTCGGATTTCCTGGGGGCCAGCAGCATGGGATTTCTGGGAGGGTGACAGAGGGATTAAAGGAGAGACAGAGTCGAAGTCAGGAATAATGAAGCAGTTTATAATAGATTTAATAACAGTAAAATCACACAGTAACCACCCAGGGGCCACCGAGGGTAATCCTTTCAATATTACTAGGGAAAAAAGGGAGCTATAAAGATGTTAAAGTCAAGCAAAGATGAGGATGGCTTTGTGAGAGAGCAGACGAGGCCTGTTTGTTTACTTACTTTTCTTTGTGAACTCTTACACATGTTCAAAATGGAAGACCACTAGAACAACTTGAAATTCATCAAGTCTAATGCAGGCATTTAAGCTACTGAAACTGAAACTTAGACCACAAGCTGTTTGCAAGCAAAAAATCTGTATCTCCCACAAACTCTCTTTTCCCTTACTCATCGGTGGGAAAGGCCAATCCCTTAAGAGCATTCCAGTGACCTGCGCCAAACTTAGTCCCGAAGAGTTCTTTCCACCCTGAACCTCGGCGAGTCTTCCGCTCCTACAGAGGCTGACCTGTAATGTTTTGGATTTGCTTTTTAAGCCCATAACCACCAAGTCGAGTTTCCAGGAACCATTAAGAAAATGGGCTTTTCCACCAAGCTGCATGCAAAGGCTGCCTGGATCTATGCAGTGAAAATTATCCTACTAGATTTTCCTAGATGGAAAATGCTAATGAAACAAGTCTTTTTTTTTTTTTTACCTTTTAATAGCTCCCAAGGAAAGATCCCCCCCGAGGTAGTGATTTTGTTTCCCGATTCTTAAAAGCAAACACATGTTTTCTATTCGAGACTCAAAAGAATGCGGGCCCCCAATCCAACAGGCCAGGTCATGCTGATGATGTGAGCAGGACCACCTCACCTCTACTCGCCCTGCCCATGCCAGCCTAATGTGGGCCGCTGGGGCCAATGTGTGCGGGATCTGGGCCACCCTGTCGCCTTCAGAGGACAGGGCACGAGCGCCAGTGTTGGACCCAACCTAGAATCCCTGTCTTTTCACTCTTAAGGCTGAAGAACAAAGGGGCGAGGAGAAAAAGCGCCATTCTTTGAATCAACAGCCTCTCTCTATTAATAGAGACTTAACAACCTGAAAATGTTTTCAGCATCGTCAAGTCAAGCCTGCTACCAGTCTGGCTGATGAGAGCCTGGCTGGCTGCACAGTACACGGTCCCCCTAAGGGCTCTATCCACTAAAACGTCAAGAGAAAAGTCGCTCAGGAGCGGTGCTACCAAAGTGGACGTTCGCTGTTGTCATTAACAAGGGTGTTCCACCTTCTTAACCAACGCAAGATGCAAACTTTCTCCACTGCCCTCCTTTCGTTCAGCCATCTCAGCAGCACAACTGTCACCTTGCCTGCGTTTTTTTTTTTTTAATATGAATGTGAAATTAGTGAGGATGCCCTTTCCCCTGGCGGACAGAATCCTCTGTTATTAAAAAGTAAAGCACTTTAATAATGAAAACTTTTTCCTCTTTTTCCTGTGTTTTAACTGTTTAAAATTAATGAGAAGGGCAGAATGGTTGTCAAAGCGATATTGAAAGCCGGGCAGCCAGGACCGAATAAGCACAAAAATCCCTCTAGAGTGTTAAATAAACAGAGCTGCAGCCCTCTCCGAATCCCTCTGTTGGTTATTGTATACATTCTGTAACAGCTCTCAGAATAGATCTGAGAGCCAGGGAGGCAGAGAGGTTTCAGAATTCCAATAAAGGCCTCAAATTAAAGACAGCCTGGTGCGAATTCCAGGAGAAAATTAAAGAGACCTCAAGCTTAAGTGACAGGTGACTTGCTTCTGTGTCACAACTGTCAGGGGATTTAGTGATAATATGGCAATATATTACAAAGGGCTTTTCTTATTCCCCCCTTTAGGTTTCAAAATGAGGCGTCTTTTCTTCCCAGCCCCCCAAAAAACCTACCATATTTATAATACGAGTCTATATACAAGTAAAATATGTAGGAAAAAATGATTAAACTAGATTCCCTCGTTTGAAATGATGCGGTCAGTTTTAGTAAAATATAAGAAAAAGTTAATGACAGCAAACAAAACACACTGAGTGCAGAGCACGCACCCCCAGCCTTTATTCCAGGATCGCCCCTCCTGAGAGTGAGCCAGGCCTTCTCAGCGTATCCTGGGGAGGGCAGTCTAAATTTAAACTGGAGACGGAGGGGGCAGAGCTCCGCAGCTCCACCTCAGCCCAGACAGGTGAAGCTCCCGTAATGAGTGTGGGTCAAGGCCCGAGGGCACCAGGATGCCCGCCCGCCGCCCGCCCGGCAGGCTGCCTTTCCCACCTCTCAGACTCAGGCTGGCTACTGGTTAATGAAGCTAACCCGCGAGTAGTAAACCCCGTACGGGTGCTGAGAAAACCACACCTCCAAGCGCCTCCTGCACGCGGTGTGCCTGTGCCTGTGTCTCCAACACCCTACCTATCTTGGAAAGAACAGACCATCAGAAAGGATGAGCCGGGGCTCTGATCTGATTTTAACACCTCACAAAGCCAGTGACAGTTCCTTTGTTAGGAGGAGTTTACAGGTGCATCTCACAGGATGAAAATCTTGCAGGAAAAATATGTTGGGTGTGTACAGTCTGATGATGAAAACTTCACGCCGACTGAGATGCAACAGACGTGCCTGAGATAACCAGGCCAGACCATCTTTCAGCCAGGCTGGAAAAGGCTTTCTTCGGGGGGGACGGGGGAGAGAGAGACAGAGACCGGGAGGTGCCCCAATACCACCGATTTCCAAGCTATTTTTTAACTAAATGGAAGGGTTTGTCTTAATTTCCATGCTGGCTTTACTCCATGGTCCTCAGAACCTTCTGAGTGCCTCTCAGTAAAGCTGAGATCAAATTTATTCTCTTTGTAGGTGGGTGAATGCGCACACCTAGACACAGCTATATATATTTCATACATCTAAATATGAAATATACATTTTACAGATGCTTCGCTCACTTTCTTTCTGTTCACAGTAGCCCAAAACTGTATGTGCCAAAGGGACACTTACCACGGACTTCAGTCCAGCTGGGTGAAGAGGGCGTTACGATGAGGTGTCTAGCTCTGGACTGAGGCTCACCCATGGAGCCCGCATCGACACGCCTCACCTGTGCGCCTACCCCTGCCCCGAGGAGAGGACCAGGCGGGACAGAGCGCACTTCTTATCCACAACAGACGCAGAGGTCCGAGCCAGGGCCATTTTGCTCTTTTCACCACTGACACAGATCGTACCTATCAAATACTCTCAGGCTATGGATCTGTGTGATTAGTTATCTGTCTAGTTGTTGTTCTTCCTTTGAATGGAAGTTAAATTTGGTCACATGAGCCTGGTTTTCACCAGCATAGTATCAAGAAACCGGGAAGACTAATTTTCTTTTCCAAGTTACCCACTTAATGTCTTTCAGAGAAAGCCCAAACTTGCTTAGCACTGTTCCTTTTCAAAAACAAGGTCAGCAAATCTTCAAACTACCTAAGTATTCAACTCCCTCTGTCCACCCAGGGAGGTGCTCAGGAGGAGCCCGGCCCTGGCCTCGGGACGCACACCATGCATGTGCTGCTCTGTATTCCAACCCCACGGCCACCTGTCTGCACAGGGCCCCTTGCCCTCACTTTCCAGGGGAGAGAAAGAAACCATGCTGAGGCCTCAGAGTTATCGGCTGTGAGCCAGGACACATGTGCAGGGCTGCTTACTCTAGCCTGCCTTTCTGCAGGTCCTCAGATGGCTCCTGGAGGCTCAGGAGTTCCCCGACGCTGGCCCCCAGCCAGGGAAAGGGCTTAAGAGAAGAACTGGTGCTGCAAGGCCACAGAAGGGCAGATGTTCAAAAAAATGACGTGGCCTGTTTTTTGCTGAAAGGGCAAAGGGAAATGCAGCTGCTCTGTGTCTCCTCGGGGACATGCCTTTCAGGAGGGGCGGTGGCAGATGGATACAATGACTGCGTCCCTGGAGAGAAAGGCCTGGCTCAGGGATAAAGACTGAAGCCAAAGCTGGTCCCAGAACAGTATAAGTTGACACCTAGTTTGATCCAACTTTTACTATCTCATTTTGTAATTTTCTTGCTGGTTATTTCTGCAGAGCAGGCAGATGCTAATGTTTTACTTATTAAGATACAGTAAAGAAAGGCACTGGGAGCTGTGTCACTCAGGCTGGAGTTTGACTACACATTTGCCACAAACGCGTGACGACAGTGATGATAATAGTATAGGTCATTTGGTGCTGTATGCTACACTGTACCTGGACTTCAGGACCATTTTCTAAACCACCCTCCAACTTCCTGTAAGAGCACCACCACCACCTCAAAAGCTGCAGCTTCTTGGCAGTCCAGGACATGCCCAAGAACTCACCGCTGACGACAGGTGAGGAATCTGACCTCAGGCCCTGCCCTTGAGCTCCTGGCTGACCCCACAGAGCTGGACTGGAGCCATAATGAAGTTATCATAGGGACACTTACTGACACGAAATGCTCTCAACTAGGATAGGTAATAGTCCCAAAGGACTGAGGCACCGAGACCAACGAGCATCCATTTGGCGAACAGTCAACACCCACGTAGTTCCCCTGGATGGTCAGAATTAGTGTGGCCAGGATCTGGTGTGAGAAAGGCCCTGTAAAATGATGTGGTGAGCTGAGTCTTACTCTGCTGGCTGCTACAGTCCTCAGGATGGAGCCCAGGGCTTCTGCATGCGGGCAAGCAGCAGACAGAGCTGCACCCCAGCCCTTTGCATTTTTCACCCCGAGACAAGATCTGACCGAGCTGTCCAGGCTGGCCTCCTGTGCAGGCTTCCCAAGTAGCTGGAATTACAGGTACACATGACCACACCCAGGTTCAACCTGAGTCTTCAACAGCCTTTTGTGCACTGCTGCTGTGGCATCATTTACTGGCCAAATCTTACCTCCACAAAATGGCTCATAGATGAAGTACTAAATTAATTAAAAAGGAATTTAGGGGCTAGGGGTATAGCTCAGTGACTGAGAGCTTGTCCAGCTCGAGTGATGGATGCCCTGGAGTCAATGCCCAGCACAAAGGAAAATGCAATTCAGTTTCAGAGTCTTGCAACAGAGGCATACACAACGGTGGGAGGAAAGCAGCGCACACAGAGCCCACATCACCTGGCCTGGAGTCTCAGGGTGCCTTGGGGAGAGCTCCTCTGCTGTCCCTGCCTCCTCATCTATAATGGGGGGCGGCGTCCACTTTGTGGAGGTGTGGGGACTCAGCGGGAAGCCGTGTGTAGACGGCTTAGCACAGTCCTGGAGCCCTCCAGTAGGTGGTATTAGGACTGCTTCTTTCTTGGCTAGATTCCCTTCCTTAGCTACTCTCCAGAACAGAACTTAAGTCAGGGTCAGTCAAATCTAGTCCCGGCCTCAGAGAGAATATTGATCCAAATAAAGGCGCACACTGAAGCATAACAGAAACTGTTAAGCTTGAGCTGTTTGGCTCTCATTTCCCCCTCTACCCTCAGGCGCCAGAAAACAAAGTCGAATATCCAAGTGATTAATATTTGACATACAAAATTATACCCAACAGCCTGCCACCCATGTACCCACGTGTGATATGCTGAGAAACAGGCCGGAGCACAGGAGAGGTGACTGTGGAGAAAGGTACCCCGGCAGAATGGAATGAAGCCTACTAACTGGAAGAGACCAGTGAACACACTGTGAGGCGGGGCGGGGCGGGGCAAGAACAGTCAAGGTCTGGTCTCATCCAATGTCCACGGCCCTTAAACTGAGCATCCTGATGCAAATTAATTCACCCATATACAAAGCCTACCATCCCAGATCAAGAAATGCAAGGCAACAAGCACAATAAAAACGACTCACCTGGGTTTTCTTTTGCCTCACTTTAAAACAATCCTCCCGCATCAGAATGGACAAAATATCTTCCATCTTAATCTCAGAAACACTGTGAAAGGAAGGGCACATCAAAAAACCTTTGGACGCTTGAATTCAAGACACCCACACCTTGCTGCATGCCCCTGGTCCATTCTCAAGCTCATTAGACATACAGGGTCTCTGTATCTCAAGGAAAAATCAGGTAGCAGTCCTGACAATTTCTACCTCTGATGAATTTGAAACAGATTAGGCTTAGATTTTTTCTCTTAGGGATCAGGTCTTTATTCCCTTCCCTTCTTGTGGTGCTGGGGATTGAATCCTAAGCATTTGCATTGAGCTATATCTCTAGCTTTTTTGAAGCAGGCACCCATAAGTTGCTTAGGCTGGGCTTGAGCCCATAACCCCCTGGCTCAGCTTCCCACGGACTATAGGTACATGCCACAATACCCAGCATGTCACTATTTCTCAATATATCTTATCTCCCCCGACCCCCCAAGCTGGGGATTGAACTCAGGTCCTTGCGCTTGCCAGGGAAGCGTTTATTCCACTGAGCCTTCTCCCTGGCCCTCTCAATACATCTTGTGTCTAAAACAAGAAGACCTGCTTTCTGATACAATACCTTGACTTGGGCTGATGCTAAATATTTCAGATAGGACTGTTTAGGCGGCGGGCCAGGGATACAGCATGGAGGCACCGTCTGCCTGGCAAGCACAAGGTTGTAAGTTCAATTCCCAGTACCAAAAGAAGGAAAGAAAGAGCCCACAGCCTCTCAGCTACTGCAGCAGGCACGCGAGTGAAATGACCTCTGGCCCTTTTCCTCTGCCCTGGAGAATCTTTACTGTTCTCTCCCTAGAACAGGGACCAAAACGTGGCTAACAAGTCATGCACGCTATGCCAGCCAGACCTCGGGCTTCCTCAGTAGCAGAGGCCAAAAGCGCGGGAACAAGAGGGCGCCTGCCCCTCGGCGAGTCCCGGGCCCAGCACTGCAGTGATGCCTGGCAGGATGCAGCGTGGAGGAAATGGGGGCTGAGGAAAAGACACTTCCGGGAGAAGCAAGGGGGAGGCACGCACGGGAGAAAAACAGATCATAAAAGACAAACGATTCTGTTGCATGTTTTTTTTCTCTGAAAATGTAACAGCAAATTAAAACACGAGTGGCAACCTCTTATGTGGGAGAAGACAACTCTCTCCCTTTCCCCAAAGGTTACTGTGACAAGGCTGTGAATGAAAATGCCATGTCTGACAGCCACTTACCTGAGCCGTGTCATCTCCTGCCGCCCGCCCCCACTACAGCCTCCCCTGCCACCCTCCCAGCCCCATGGAGGAGCAGCTTTCTCAGGCAGCAAGAGGCAAAGGCAACCATAGTACAGGGGCCCCGGCAGCGGGCGCCAGGGCCAGCACGGCTCCTGGGCGGGCTGGGGGCTTCCCTCAGCAGAGGGATGCGTGCGACAGGATCCTGGGAGCTGACAGGAAAAGCACAGCAGCCCGGCCTTTTTCTGTGTCTCACCTCTTCTGTTGATCACCTTTTCTCTCCGGAGGGGGGCAGAGGGGGATGGACAATATGCGTGGAAAAGAAACAGAGGGACGTGGAGCGAAATCTTGACACAGAAAGAAAAAGGAAGTAATGCCACATACAGCCAGGGATGGAAAAGCTCAACAGGCCACAGAAAGATGCAGTGTCCCAGACACGCTCCAGAGTGCCCCTCCTGCAATGCCACACTCCACGGGACAGGAGTCGAACAACAGATTGATGGACAGTGTCAAAGGGGGACCTTCCTATTTCTAAAGACTGCTCCTTCTGAGAAACAAAGCAAATCTATTAGGATTATTAATCCTATCAACAGATCAGAATCAACTCACCTTGCTAGGAACACAGAAAAATAAGTAAATGCAGTAGACTGTCCCAGGCCTGATCTAAGAAATGCTTGATCTGATGAGGTATTTACATTTTAATAAACCAATGATGACTTTCACTAGCAACACTTAAAGGGGCTTTAAAACATTTACGGTGTTAGCAAATATAAGCAAGCCAAAGCATGCTGAAGTAAAGTTCTGGGTCCCCTTAGCCTGAGGTGGCAAGTGGCCTAGTGAGCCTGTCCCTTGCCCGGTCGGCTACACTGAGCCACTGGAGTGAGCCCCGCCAGCTCGCCTGCACACGAAGTCAGGCGTGGGACTCTTGCCGTGGGAGAGCCTCTGCCTGCCTTTCTGAACCTTCCTGCCTTTCATCAGGCAGCCAGTATCCTGCTGCCTGGGTCTTCCGTTCTCAGGCACGGACATACACCCCTGTTTCCCCTCCACCGCCTCCTCTTAATATTCAGAGTGTACCATTTGAGCACCAAGAGTGTTCTGGTCTGCTTCTTCCCGCTGCAGTTTGCAACTAGTTCCTACTGCATTTGATTTAATTCTGTATTACGTCAAGCAAACTGTGCACGTGGACAGCCTGCATTACAGCCTTTCCTGAAACAGAAATCAGCAAGCATAATGCGCGGCTGCACCTGCAGCAACCCAGACCTCAGTCTCCAACTCGGTGATCGCCCCACGCCACAGGCCAGGGCCCAGGCCTGAGCAGGTGGCTGCGGGCAGGTGGGAGAGGGGCTCACACAGGGTCCTTCACTCCTGGCCGGAAGGCTCAGCCCGCCCCGCACTCTCCCTGAAGGCCCAGCTCTTCAGTACCTGGTCCTTACCCACTGCCATCCTTCTCAATGTCCTTGCCAGCCAAGTAGCTCCTCTGCTTGTGTGCCTCGCCACCACTGTGGTCGCCTATGCTTGACATGTCTTTAAAACAGACCTGGCTCACTAATAATTTTTGCCTGTGATAATCATTGTTTTTCTTTTTTAGTTTTAGCTTCATGTCTGAACCCTTATGTAGTTTATTAAAGTCAGGGCAAAATAGAGACAGTGGCGCCCGTTCTGCTGGCCCTGGCGCTGGACAGTCATTATCTGACCTTCAACAGTGGCCCTGTGCTTCTTGGGAAATGGGCCCAGCATGGCACTGTGAACAGAAGCCCACAGATCTAAGCTGGCAGAGGGAAAGAAGGTGCGGAGAGACTGACAAACTGACAGGCCACAAAGGGCCGCGTCCTACTGCTGCCCACCAGAGTTCCAGGAACTCCTTCCACGCAACACACATCCTGTGACCAAGAGGAGGCTCCAGTGCTGAGACACCCCAGCCACAGGAGGGCCGAGAGAGAAGAGGCCCCGCTCTCAGTGGGCTTTTGTTTCCATTCATGCAGGCCTTCCCCAGCCCAGCTGTCTGGCAGTGCAGGCCCTGCTGAAAGGGTGGTAGAGGTAGGGGTATGGAGTGACGGATAGACAGATTTCCCTCCTAAATAAGAGAAAATATGTACACTGCCCTGAAACAAAGACTATTCTTTCATTCAATACACTGTATTAAGGAATGGGCTAGGGGCCGGGGAGATGGCTCAGTAGAGTAAGTGCTTCCCTGGCAAACGCAAGGGCCTGAGTTCAATCCCCGGTTCTGCCAAAAAAAAAAAAAAAAAAGGAATGGGCTAAATGAAAGGAAGATGCTAACTGTACTTTTGGGCCATCTGACACTATCACCAGGAGCAGGTGCCTGCCTTCTCCCAGGCAGCAGGAAGCAGGTGCACTATGTGAAGAGCCTCAGTTGACAAATGTCCACTCTGATGTGCCTGGACATCTGAGAAGTCTTAGCCCGAGGGGAGCTCTGCAGGCCAGAAAGTGTGGCACCAGTGGCTGGGGCACAGATTTAACAATGGCCTGTGGTCCGTCCTGCCGGGCCCTGGACTAGGCCCCACATCTGGGGCAAAGGAACTTTATAGTTGGCGTAGATGTTTTAGATAAAACTGGGGAGTGGGCAAGAAAATCTCAGGAGACCTGCACACTTGGGAGCACGGCGCAGGCTTGTAGCAGCACCGGGCAGCCAAGGGTGCTGCTGGGCATAGCATGTCAGGTCCCACTGCCCAGGGGACAAGTAGCTCTTCCTAAAAACACTTTTATCCATCACTGTGCTATGCTGGAGCAGGAGAAACCCTTTACAGTCAATGTTTCAAAAACTATATGCCTTTAGAATTCTATCCTGTTATGAGAACCTGCTACATCAGGTGCCAGAGACTTCATGGAAAATACAACAAACCAGCTCTGGGGCCCAGGCAGATCACTTCTCTGTCACTCCTGCAGAATCTGCAGCCAGGCTGGACTGTGAGCTCTGCCTCGCCAATGACAACACAAGAGAACAGCTGAAAAGTCCTGGCTGTGCACGTGCAGTCAGGGCGCTTTCTCAACTGCTTGAAATCTCGACTATTTTCCTTGAGGAAGCGACCTGGGTGATGTGTAAAAATCATTTTTTTTAAAACAAGCAACTTTGAAGCTATGGGATGTTTAACTGCAAGAAATAAAAATTGCAAATAAAAAGTGTCTGAGAAGCTGGCTGTAAGGGTTGTACTCACTTTTTTTTGTTTGTTTGTCTGCGGAACCGGGGATTGAACTCAGACCCTTGCACTTGCTAGGGAAGTGCTTATTCCACTAAGCCATCTCCCAGGCCCCCTTTCCTCACTTCTTAAAGTAAGAAAAACGAATCACAGACCTCAATCTCAAAGAAAAATGAAGCGCAACAGATTGTCCTATGACTTCCTCTGGCAACCCAATGAAAACTGTCAAGGCATTAAGGGCTTGTGTTTTTGCCACTGGCTATTCTGGGACTCATTTAGGGATCACAAGGGTTAATGGCTCCTCACAGCTTACAAGGCCCGTCCACATAGAAAGTGACGGAAAGTTAATTAGGTGAGATCAGCCGAAGCCCGTTCAGGTTTCTGACTCACTTGATTTTGTGAGAAGCCAACGAGTTGACATATTCTGCCTCCGAAGGAGCCAAAATGAGCAGGCTGCTCCCACGGCAGCCAATCCGGGCAGTTCTTCCAATCCGGTGGATGTATTCTGCAGGTGAAGACGGAGCATTGTACTAAAAAGGGTAACAAAAATGAAGGCATTTGAGATCAAGGGATTGTCATTAATTGGAAGTGCAATACCCTGCACCTGCCTCCAGGTACCCCAAGAATTCGACCCCGGTGCTATGGTTACTTGAACACAATCACAAGGCGAAGTCACTCAATCCTGAAACTCCTGGCTTCACTGAACTAACAGGGCTGACTCACAGATATGAACAGTGGCCAAGTTTCAGATAAACGAGACATCATCTCATCCCACTATCTCTTTTTAATTTTACTTCTCCACAGGTCTCTTCATGTTCCTATTTCCATCTTTTCACTGAGAAGATGCAAAGTGAAAAATGTAGACCGGCCGGGCAGGTCTCCGAGATGACCACATGACCGTGGCCTATTTTCTTGGCAGACAGAGCAGCGGGACCATGCAGCAGAGGACGGTGCACTGCACTGGCAGAGTTGCCACTGCTGCCGGCCTGCCACCCTACTGGCTGGTGGAGATGCAGGGCGGCGCTGGGCCAGCTCCCTGCAGGTGGAGACTGGCCCCTGCTCCTGGAGCCTGTTTCTGACTCAAGGAGAAAGACGGACCCCAGCTTGGCCAAGTGGACCAGGCACTGCACATCATGTCAGCAAATGGCTCTGTATTTTTTTTCTCCGCTGTGACAAGAATCAAAGATCAGTGGGCCACAGTGAATACACTATACAGGAAGCTAGGCGTGTTCCACAAATGGACAGTCCAGGACAAGGCCCTCCAGGATCAATTTTGTGCCCAGCCTCCAGCGTATTACAGTGACCCCCCAGCCTTCTCATCTCTCATCCGCTCCTCTGAGGCCAGCAGAAAGAAGACACAAGGCCTCTTGTCCTAAAGTGATCGTCTGTGACAAGCAGCTCAGGTTTCCTGGCTGCAGACAAGCATGCAACTGCACTAAATACATATAAATCAGGACTCATGTAAACAGGGCGTGTGTCCTCCAGCCTCACAGAGAAGAGCTTAAAAATATCATTCGGCAGACTACCAAAAAGAAAAAAAACAAAATGAAACTCCCTAGAGAAACTCCCTAGACTCGAGCGCTAACACCTGTACCCTCTGGCAAAGCGTCTAAGGCTAGAGGTACGTGAAAGATGCCGTCACGAACTTAATTGCTCCCTGCAGGTCAATGTTCCTGGATACTGCTCTCAGGACAGCTGAGCCATCTCCTCCGGATACAATGAGGCCTCCCAGGGGCCCAGATAATTCCTGTTATTTTCAGACTGTAGAAATTTTGGTGTGTGATGTGAATGAGTCTGGGAGCAGGAAAGCCTGCCACCTCCTTCCCTCCTGTCCTGTGACTGTGCATCCTGGCTTTTGTGCTGCAGTGGTGGGTGGGTTGGGTTAAGAAAAGATGTCAGGAGAACTGTACAGATAAGGCTGATTGCTACCTGGTTACCAGGGTAACACCCAAGAGGGTGATAATAATTATTCTACTTACAGCCAGTGCATCTGCTCGTGATCATATGCTCCTGCCTCAAGCTCACACCTTAACAACTAAAAAATTACCTGAATGATCCACGTGACTTGCGGGAGATCTAAGCCCCGAGCCGCAACGTCCTTCAAAACAAAAAGGAACTTGGTTAGGGCTGAGTGTGTGAACTTGGTGGTGGCAGTGGGTCGTGGACACACTCATCATCTAATACAACTCTGAGGGCCACTCACACACACAACTCCATATTTAACTCCAGGCAGCTCAAGGAGCCATGGGAGCATGCAGTTATGGTTAAAAATTCTGATTTGGGATAAGAAAGGTAGAACCTTGCAAAACCCACGCCATGCAAAGGATACAATCAGCAGGTGGCACAAGGACTCATGCTGCCATGGCCAGAGATTCGGGTTAAGAGTTCTGAGAAGCATGTCTTATTCACTCACACTGTACCTAAAAAGTCACCGCGACAGAGGCATGCATGGCTTATCATCCCTTCCTGACCTGCCAGCAGAGCTGATCAACAAAGGCAAAGGTGGGTGGCAGGTTCGTGGCACTGACCTGCGGTGGTGACCGCAGGCTTCCTGCAGGCTGGGCCTGTGATGCTCACAGCACAAAAGCCTGAGGAACCTGCTGTTGCCCAATCGCTAGATGAGGGTGCTGCCAAACCTGCCGACCACTCCAAAGACTTGGCTGAAAAATTAACAAAGCAATGGAGAACTTTCTCTTTTACTTGGTCTGGCAGAGTGACTGAAATGGAATCTCCTAGTCCTTAGCAATAATTTGCACTCAGAGCCCAACTTCAGTACTGACAGTCCTCACACTGTACCCAGTCACTATTTCCTGGGGACTTGCTTCACACCAGATGCTGCATTTCACATTTTGCTTGCATTACCTTTAGTGATCAACCCATCTGACAGATGAGGAAGCCAAGATGCAGAAAGGCCACCCCATGCAGGGACATTCAGCTAAGAACAGCAGTAAGCACAAATTCAGGGCCACTTCACGGCCCCCCAGCCAGAACAGACCCCACGGCCCACTGCCCAGACGCTGCTGGTGTGAGTGCAGAACGGTACGAAGCCCTGTGGTGGGACTCCTCTAGCAACGTCAGCCCTGCGCCTCCCGCTCCTGCCAGAGCTATCCCGCCACTAGAGCAGGACACTGGCGGGCTACAGACTGATGCCTGCAGGAGGCTCTTCAGCCAGCGTGTAGGCAAGGTGACCGGTAGAAGAGAAAAATGGGTGGCAATGCTCCATAGGACAGAGTATCATGTGCTAGGAAAAGGACAAGGATTTCTATGTTCAGATTTGGAGATCCTCCAGGATATAGTCCAAATGTGCATCGTCTGATTATGTGTAAGACACTGAGGAAAAAAAATTGCTTATTTTCCAAGAGAAAACATGGCAGAAAACACCCAAAAGCTTACAGAGAGTTACCTGTAGGGTAAGGAGGAGAACAAAGGGAGTACTAGGACAGGGACCAGACTGCCTCTGGTGAGCTTCGCACTTAGCTCAAGATGATCAACTGGCCAACTCAGAATGCCACCCCAGAGGCCTTCTTGCCAAAACACAAAACAAGAAAACCACTGTGGGGCCGGGGAGATGGCTCAGTGGAATAAGCACTTGTCTGGCAAGCACAAGAGCCTGAGTTCAATCCCTGGTTCTGCAAAAAAACCCAAAAGACAAAAATGAAAACCACTGAACTCCAGGGCCCTGGGCATGCCAGGCAAGTATTTGCCCTTTGGCTATATTCGCAACTGTTTTTAGTTTACTTTGAGGCAGGGTCTTGCCAACTTACCCAGCAGGCTGGCCTAGACCTTGCAATGCTCCTGCCTTGGCTCCTGAGTAGGCCGGATTACAGGTGTGTACGCCACAACAAGCTGGCATACTGTTCTGTTTTCTTTGAGACAAAGCCCTACAACACAGTTCAAGCTGGCCTTGACTCACTAAGCAGCCCGCGCCGGCCTCCACCTTGTGGCCATCACCCTGTCTGGGTCTCTGGGGAGGGCATATTCTCAAGAAAACAAAAGATCTCATTTCTTCAGCCAAAAATGTCAAGGAAAAAACTTAGATTTTAACACTCACATCCTGATGGTTAATTAATGAACTCGACCGTCAATGGTATACAGAACAATGCCCCCATGAAAGGCCAACTGTGTTCTTGGGTGGTTACTTCTACGGGGGGCGGGAGGGGGGATGGTGATCTTCATGTGCCTTTTTGTATCTGTTTTTTACTCTTCCTTTAACAATAAACACCTATAAATGCCATCAATTTTGGGTTTTTTTTTTTTTTGGTACTGGGATTGAACTCAGGACCTTGCGTCTGCCAGGCAGGTGCTTATGCCACTGAGATATCTCTCCAGCCCAACTCTCACAAGTGTTATGACGATGAGTACAGTGAGCATGTCAACCTTTCTTTAGATGCTAATCTATAGCACATGTGCTTTGTCCTTTCCCCTCTGAACTAAGTAATCCTCCTCACACTTTCCTATCTACAGTAGGGTGCAAATATGTCATTTTAGCCCTGAATACTTTAGCAGGTGTCATCTACGCACAAGGCTATTCTGCTTTTAAAAACAAACAAACAAACCCTACTACACCACTACTACACTTGAGAAATTTAATACTAGTCAGGCATGGGGGAACACATACATTCCTATCACTCTGGGAGACTGAGGCACAATGATCCAGAGACCCTGTCTTAGAAATAAAAAGGGGGGCTGGAGAAATGGCTCAGTAGAATAAGTGCTTCCCTGGCAAGCGCAAGGATCTGAGTTTGATCCCTGGTTCCAAGAAAAAAAAAAAAAAAAATTAAAAAAAAGAGTACTTGGCTGACCTTACCAGATACAAAAGTTACATTTCTTGTTATATAGGTCTTGCTATATCTTGGTCTTAACCATCCAGCAGAAAAGTATAAAATTGAGGTATATAAAGTAAATCCATATTAATACGATGAGCTGTAAAAGGCTCAAGTCAATAACTTCTGAGGATAACCCACTAATATTATAGACTGCTAGACAGTGTTGGATTGTTTAGTTGCATTCAAACACTTAGAGTATTTAGATGCCAATAGAATATTCACCTCTGACAGGACAAAAAAAAAAAAAAAAAAAAGGATACAAAGGAAAGATCACTTTGTATTTATATATACAAAATAGTTAGGACTGGGGCCGGGGAGATGGCTCAGTAGAATAAGTGTTTCCCTCGCAAGTGCAAGGGTCTGAGTTTAATCCTGGGTTACACACACACACACACACACACACACACACACACAAAAGGATAAATTTATAGCTACTTTCGCTTAATTCAATGAGAAGAGGTGTACTAACAGGGTTTGGACAAAATATCTGTCTGCTTCTTGTGCTATGGATAACCACTAAGAAGATAACAATGTACAATGTATTGATTATCAAAACTGTCCTATTAATCAGCTGTGAAACTGTCTCATTCATATTTATTTCTCAATTAAAAAAAAAAAAGGCTGGCTGGGGGTGTTGCTTAGTGTGAAGGCCTTGGATCAGGGCCAGTACTGTTCCCTGCCCACAACAAAACTTAATATTGAAGATCATCATTTTCTCCTAAGCAGGCCAGATTCAATCTTCGCCCAGTGATCGAGGCTGTCTTCCCCATTATCTTTCTTTCATCATCATCCAGGAGTAAAGCATAGCTCAAGTGCTCCCCTGTGTATCGCTTTAGACGTCCTGACTCTGGAACGGCACCCCTGCCTCTTCACGGTTTCCTTAATTTTTGAAGACTGCCATTTCTGAAGAGCCCAGGAGTCTGGAGGAAGTGCCCACACTCTGGATTCCTCTACCTGCATCCTGCACTCAGGCATCGGAGTGCAACCATAGGCTGGGGTGCGTGTCCTGGCGGGGGACACCGCAGTGGTGGCCACCAGCTTCCACTGTGTAATGATAAGTAATCAGGAGGTGAAACTGAAACCCCCAACTCTTCCTGAAGTCTCACCCAGGCCAGGATTAAACCCCTGCCCTAGTGTGTGTCGGTGTTAGCCTGAGGGCGGCAAAGGTGACTTTCTGGGTTGCTGTCCCTTTTTCCTGCTTGACTGACAGCTGAGAAATTCTGTACAGTGCAGCCTCACCCACTAATTTAAGTTTTTTTTTTTTTTTTTTTTTTTTTGCGGAACCGGGGATTGAACTCAGGCCTTTGCACTTGCCAAGGAAGTGCTTATTCCACTGAGCCATCTCCCCGGCCCCTAATTTAAGTAACTTTAAAGGATCTGTATGTCCTCAGCTTTTCTTAAGACTAACCTTAGACCAAGTTTTGAAAAGATGCACCCTTCCTGCAGCCCAGGGTCAAAGGCAGGACTAAGCAGACACTGTCCCAAGGGACCAGGGACCAGGGGAAGCCCAGTCTCCTGTGAGAGGTGCTGGCTGCCTCCATACATGTGACTGAAGTCCAGGGCAGCCACCCGTGAAGTGGCTCACACAGCCCACGGGCTCCAGGAGTGGAGGCTCTGAGAACGCAATGTAGAGCGCACACTATATGTTCCAGGGGAGTGGAATTGGCCTTCTAAAACCAAGCACAGTCAATGACTTTAGGAAAACTGATGCGTTCCTTAACTCTGCTAAGTTCTTGCTGAGAAATGATTTATTTAAGTGCTCTGCAGTGGGAGAGCCATGTAGAAAATGGGCTGCCTGAGCTTTATAGACAGGCTTTGATTGTTTTTGTGGTACCGGGGATTGAACTGAGGACCTTGCACTTGCAGGCAAGCACTTATTCTACTGAGCTATCTCCCTGGCCTACAGATAGGCTTTGTAAAAATTTAATGTTCCTCAGTTTAGTAAATTCAACGTGGAAACAAAACTTTACAATAGCATATGATGCTTGAGAAACTCACTGAGTTCAAATAAAGGGAACACCAAGTGGTAAGGGACACCAGCAGCCTCATGGGGACTCTGTAAGGTCCTTTCGCCCCCACAGGGGCCCAGCCCTGGACACCTGGCTGAGACCCTGTCCTCTGGTCTCCACTCCACTCAGGTGGGGGACTGCCTATGTGTTTTTGTTTCTCTTGCCCAGATTAAAGCCAGCGACTACTGAGATATAGTACTTCCTTCACGCCCAGCCTTGGCTACGAGGGAGTAAAGGCAGAAGCCAGTGCTGGAGGGAGCAGG